CAGACCAGATCCCTATGCTGCTCGCCTGTGTGCCACTTTGGTTACCGCACAAGTGATTGCCGATTGGCAAGGGAAAGTTTCCTACAATTGGGGAAGGAACAAAGCAGCTCTGCCAAGGAACCTTCAGCAGAGGATTAGCGAGTACCTCCAGGGAAGTTTCCTAGAGATCTCTCTGGAGGATTCCCATGAAATCTCGGTGTGCATTAACACGCTGTTCCACCACACTGCTAAGCTACACAGGGGAACATGAAGCACAGACCAACACAGCTAGTCTTGTACGTTTATATCCCTTGACCCATTTCTAGCATATAACAAAGCAAAGGACAACTCTATTTCATATAACCGAGCAGCAACAACTCAAAAAGATCACTTACCAGAGCTCCCCTCTCCTGCATCATGCATGCCAGAGACAAACTGCTGGGACTGGCTAGACCCCTCCGGAGTGGAAAAGAGTTCCTGACTCGCCACGCCACTGGATGACCCTTCCGGGTGCTCCATGTCGTCTTCCAACTCGACCTCCTTGTCCACCACTTCCTCATCGGAGTTGAGTCCACTGTCTCCAGCCCCACAAAGTATCCACAGGGCTCTTGGTGGTGAAAATGGGGTCACCACCGAGGATGGCATCCCATTCCTTATAGAAGCGGCAAATCTTTGGCCCAGCACCGGAGTGACGGTTTGACTCCCTTGCCTACTGGTACGCCTGCCTCAGCTCCTTTATCTTTGCACGACATTGATGTGTGTCCCATTTGTAGCTCTTATCCAACATGCCACAAGAAATCTGACTGTAGGTATCAAAGTTCCTACAGCTAGAGTGGAGCTGGGACTGCACAGCCTCCTCTCCCCACAGCGCCAGCAGATCTAACAACTCAGGTGTGCGCCAAATGGGAGAGCGTTTGCTGCAGGGAGTCGCCATGGCCAGCTGGGAAGATGAGATGTGAGCTGTCCATGCCAAACAAACAGGAAGTGGAATTTCAAAAATTCCCTGGACTTTAATGCCTGTGTACCTGGGTGCAGGGCAGCGGAGTTCTAACTGCTGACCAGAGCAGTCAATATGGAACACCTCAAGGAGGCCATTTACAGCAACATAACCAAGCTCAGTGTTTACACTGAGCCTCTGTCGATATAACTTTGCCACCAAAAGCTTTATGCCTCTCATCAAGGTGGTTTTATTTTTGTCAGCAAAGCAGGAGGGTTTTGTCAGTGGAAGGAGCATTGTAGTGTGTACACCTCCACTGTTTTGTCGATGGAAGCTGACTTCTGTCGACAAAACTCTGTAGTGTAGACATGCCCTTAGTTTATGGGCCCAGTCCTACATTTCTTGGGCCCCCCAAATGCCCATTTAAATCAGTAGGCTTTTGGGTGCCAAGGAGTAAATTACCAAGGGCCAGATCTGAAAAGAACTCTGTATGTGTCTGGTACTATATTAATTACTGTTAGTAGTAGTAATAATGTTGCAAACAGAATGATAACAGGAGAAGAACATCAACTCTTAAAAACAATTATTCTGTTCTCTTGCAGATGGTTCTAGTAAAAAAAAAAGAATGTGAATTAGAGAAAATGGAGCCAATCCTACATTTCTTGTGCACCACAACTCCTATTGCTGGCAATGTGTGATATGTGTTCGGAATTTAAACAGAATCTTTAAAACGTTGACATGGAGCATTAGTAAAGTGTTTTGAGTGTAGTTTTTTGGATATGCAAGTACAGTATGAGTGAAAATCATCCCTTCCCCCATAATGAATAAATTAATGGGATTTATTCAGGAAAGTAACTGAGGATTAGGGGGAAACAATCCACACCCACCCCCAAAATGAGAAAACCACAGCTCCTATATGGCAGCTATTATAGCCAATGAATTGAAACTGCTATACAACCCCCCTAAACCAGTTGTTTTCAACCTTTTTTCATTTGAGGACCCCTAAAAAATTTTGAATGGAGGTGCAGACCCCGGTGGAGATCTTAGACATAGTCTCTGGACCCCGCCGTGGTTTGCAGACCACAGCTTGAAAACCACTGCCCTACACAGTGGCTCCAAGCCACTAGATCTATCAACGTGTGGGTCCAATAGGCTCTTCCTGAGTCCCCCCCTTAGCGGAGACCTAGTCACCGCTATTTCAGAGCTCCCTGCGCAGCACACAGGGAATGTGAATGGCCCTCTATGCAGTTGACCAAGTACTGTGCCTTACTGCACAGCCCTACTGCAGAGCTTAAGTGTGATGGAGAGCCTTGAATGGGCCCTCCATGGGGGAGTGAGTTTCGTCCTGTCTGAACAGTTGTGTGACGTTGTTGGTTCAAGTTACTCTGGCACCTGGTATAAAAATGGCAGATAGTCTGTCATTTGCGTGAACAGTTCAATCCCCAATTCTGTGGCACTAGTGTAGAATTCATGCACTCTCTGAAGATATTTTTCTCTTCCATTCCGCTTTCTTAATTATTATTATTTATATTACAGTAGCATCTAATGGCCCCAGTTAAGTTCAGGGTCCCATTGTGCGAGGCTCTGTATATACATATAGTAAGAGATAGTCCGTGCCTCAAAGAATCTAAAGCTTTGACCCAGCAAAGACTTACTCTGGGATTACGCACAGTGTGGAAAATTAAACCAGGGGTGAATCTCTGCAGCATTGGATCCTACACAGACAAGATACGGGGTGGGAGAAAGGAAGTATTATCCCCTACATTTTACAGATGGGCAACTGAGGCACAGAGCAATTAGCTCGCTGATGTGCTGTGACCATTCCTTATCACAGTGCTCATGTGCATCTCATTGATATTTTGTGCTTCAGCCCTCTGTTGCCCTTCCCCTTGTTGCCACGTCTCATCGTTAGATTGCATATGCTTTGAATCAGAGATCAAACATTTTTTGGTTATGTGTACAGTGCCTAGCACAATGGGACCTAATCCCTGATTGGGGCTCCTGGGCACCACTGCAATGGCAATGCAAATAAAGAATAATAGTAATCTGTAGCAGAGACAAGACTTGACCTCAGATCTCTTCTATTTTAGTCCAGTGCCTTGACTACTAGACCATTCCGCCTCATTTATCATACTGTATTTTAAAATACAGGGGTTTCCCATTGGCCCACCAAACACTCTTCATCATTCTTTTCCTCATTATCTTGTATGGTATAAAAGCAAAGCTTTAACATAAGTGCTGATATGTATATCACAGTTTGCATATGTGCTCTGTAGAAAAAATAATATATATAATACCATGTCCATATAAACACTAATTCCTCTAATATTCTGAATACAAATTGGTAAATAAAGCCCCAGTGTTTCAATTTGAACATTCCAAATACTGTAGCCTCTTTTGGGCCTGGCATAAATCCTCTCTATTTGGAATACTAGAGAAATTATTGTATATACGTGTACATGGTGCATGAAAGTTACAGGATTTCACACCGTATGTTTGTATTTTCCACACAACACAAACCAAAACTGTAATGCCATTTTCATGTCACTCTGAAAAAAGTACGATCTTCTGAGTGATAGGTAAACAATAAAAGGCCCAAACAATACAAAAACAAACAGTCCTCATGAAAACTATTTCTAGTATTTAAAACCATTCCTCTACTGTTTACTGAGACTGGGTCACATTGCATCCTGTGCTGTTTGAAACATTTTTAGTATTCCAGACGTTATATGGACTGGTTTTGGAATGTCCTGAAGGAAGACTGAAACGGACACATCGGATTCTGTATACATTTCTCCTTCACATACAGCTAGGATTTTAATATGAAGAGGCATTTTCTCCCCTATAAAATAATCTCACAAAAATTGTGAAACACAAAAAACCCAAAAACCTATGTACCCAGCTCACCATTTGAACACACTGCTTGTTGTCTCATCCACTCTCCCTGCTTATATTCACCTCTACTTAGGCCCCAATCCTGCCGTCGGGCGGATCCCTGTGCCTGCACAGAACCACTGGGGCTCCATTCAGGTGCACCCACAGAAATGAAATCAGGGCTTCTAACCGTAAATTATGCAGGACAAGGACACTCTTCACAGCACCTCGCACACTGATGGTACTCCAGAACCAATAATGATGACCACGGCGTATATTGAATACACTCTGCTTTATTATTTTCCGAAATAACCTGATGTCACGTGGTTCCTGCAGGAGGCTGCCTGATTGGGAAATTGTTTTTATCTGGCCATTTTAATAAACCAGTTCTGAGGCGACCACATAACAGCCACATACAAATAACCTCATTCCTACCCACGGGGCAGAATCGCCTCTTCTCCCGCACACGGGGGTGTGGGTGTGGGTGTGATTCCACAGCGCTGGACTAGCCCAGGCTCCTGTCCCTTTAAAAGTGACCTACGAGAGTCCAGGCTTCCTGGAAACTCTGTGCCTGCCTGCGGCCCCGCCTCTGCCCCAGCCCCGGGCAATGGCGCCTTCGCAGCGCTCCTGGCGGGAGGAGGTTGCCGTGCGGCTGGCTGGGGGAGGCGGCCGCATGCAGGGGGAAAGGCCGCCCGTTCCCTCTGGCGCTGCCCGTGCTCTCAAGGGTGGGGTGAGGGGGGAACACTGCAACAAAGGAAAGCGCGTACAGCTAGTCCCGGCTCGGTTCGCTCCCCGGCCGGGGAGAGGGGAACCAGGGCGGGGACGTGTCTTCTCGGCTTCATCAGCCCATGTGGCCGCGTGCAGGAAGCACCGCGCGCTCTCGGCTGCGGCGCTTAAGCTTTGCCCCCACCCCACCCCACCCCAGCCGGGCGCCCCCTTCCTCCCCACGGAGCGGGCGGCGGTAGCGTCGGAGGCCGGGTCCGCACCTTCGGCTTGTGCAGGCAGCGGCTCAGCTGCCGGGGGAGCCGGGCTGCCTCGGACACCCGGCAGGGTGGATGCATTATTCAGCACACGGTGCATTCCGAGCTGCGGGAGCCGAGCTCCTGTGGGACTGTGCATGGGGCGGGTGTGGGTGGGTGTGTTCTCGGGTCCAAACACCCGCCAAGGCTGGGTGGGGGTGGGATTCAGGGGCAGAGGAACATGCACTTACTTTATCTATGGTGCCCGGGAGCAGGCGGTCCAGCAGCCGGCACAGCACCACCCCGTCTTTCAGAGACGACTGCAAAAACCCCTCGGGGTCCGAGATGGTCTTTTTGGGCGACTCCAGCACGCCCAGGGTGATCAGCCATGTAACGGTCTGCTCCGCCGAGTTCATGGCTGCTGCCGCCGCCGCGCGGAGGGTAAATCCCAGCGAGCGGGGGGCGGGGGGGAAGCAATCGCGCGCCGGAGGAGGCTGTATTTGGCCTGCGGGCCCCCCCGCTAGGATCCCCCACCCTGGGCTTGGGGGGTTTCACATTGGAGCAGCAGAGGCCGGGGCCGCCGCTCCCTCCTCCCTCGCCATGGAGCTGCTGCAGATGACGACTCGCTTTGCCAAATCCAGTGGGTCCAGTTTCGCTCGCTCGCTCGCTCTCGTGCGTGTTGGCAGCTTGTCCACTGCCTTTTCATTACACACACATGAACCTGCAGCGCCTCCTCCCCCCGCCGCGGCGGCTGCCTCCGCATGACATCACTGACAGCCGGCGGAGAAGAAAAGACGCCAGGCCCCTTCTCGGCACGCAGACCTGCGGCGGAGCCCGCGCCCCTCCAGCGGGCACGGCTCGCGCGGGGCCCGGCGGCTGCGGCAGGCGGCTCTCCCCTTCGCGCCGCGCGCCGCTTGCTGGCCCTAGGCGGGGAGCTGCTGTCTCCCAGAGCGTGGCATCTGCCGCACCCGGGATGCAAACGCCAGCCTTGGAGCTATTGTATAAATGCGTCCTGCGTAGGTAATAGGGACCGTGTGTGTGTGTGTGTGTGTTTCTGTAGTATGGATTCACACATATTACGTGGGGATGTGTGTTCCCATGCATATACATATACATATTTATACACATCCCCAGTAACCACGGTCAGATTTAGGCAGACACTGGGAGACCATTTAAATCCCCCCCCCCTCCTCCCCTATATACATGGTGGCTAATATTGGTAATGTTTATACTGGCCTTTTTCACCTAGAGGTAAAGTGGATATTTGATCTTCAAATCGTGGCATCGTTCAGGATTTTTTTTTTTGGGGGGGGGGGGAGGGTTGGCGTTCAAATAAGTATGTGTGCCATGTACTCTTTTACTACCCAGCAAGCCAACAGTTGCTGAGTGAACATTTTAATTCAGTGTGTCACCAGATGGATCCTAAACAGTGCAGAATGGACTCATAAATCTATCAGGAATAGGTTTACGCATTATTGTGCTTGACCTTGGTAACGTTAACAACGATCTAACGTTGAACAAACAGTTTACGTTGTATGTGGCCCTCTAGTGGAGGGTTGGTTGATGCCACTTGATTGCAATCAGTGAACTCGCCATATAAAAGAGAACAGATATATAAATAATGGTTTTGCATCATTTGATATTTCCAAGTGAAAGTGTTTTACTACTATTACATTTGAAGCAGTCGCTGACAGTGTTGCTTCTGGAGCCATACAGGCACTAAAAGAAAAGAAACCTCCTGAAACAGCTTAACAAAGACTTCCACAAGAAAACTGCAGTTTTTTGAAGGAGAAGAATTGGTTAGACCAAGTCAGGCCTGGTCTACACTAAAATGTTAGGTAGAAGGAAGCCACCTTAAGTCGACCTGTTAATGTATGTGTCTACACTACCTAAGTCGCCTCTAATGTCGACTTCTGTAATCCAGTTCTGTGAGAGGCGTAGCATTTAATTCGCTTTTCATGGGTCGACTGCAAGGTAGTGCAGACGCAGTGTCAGTGATGTGCTGGGAAGGGCTTTCTGTGCACCCTTATTAACATTCGACCACCAAACAGAAAAGAGGATTGGGATGCTGTCTCTACTTTTGATAAAGCTGACCCATTCTGAACAATTGTCAAGTCCCTTTACAGAGTTGACATCCGTGGATTTCATAAAAATATTCCTGAGGAGTAGACTTTTTGTCTTTGGAATGTACCAAATTGTAACTGGTTGCAAAAATTACCAGGGAAGAATACCTCTAAACTCCCCTGCAAAGCTACACACATCTCTGTATTTCAAATTACACAAGTTTAACGTAGTGTACAGCATAAACATTTTATTTTATATACAATTTTAATTTGGCATCTTTTGCAAGAACAAAGGAAAACACTTATAAAAATACAGTTGGCTGTGGTCAAATTGTTTTTGTTTAAACAGGAAAAAAGTGAATAGATTCATCAGTCCCTCATTGTCCTCTCTGCAAGTACGCTCATGTGTGTTTTATCAAATGTATGTTTTATCAAAGGCTAAAGGGGAACACTTTTATGGGAATCCCTGGCCAACTGATCCCATTTGGACATTTTACTCATTTGCTTACAGTTTATATGAGCAATGAAGCCAATTATTAAAACAATGTATGGTGGCTGAAGTGCTAGCTTCCCTGGCTATGTTCATTTCCAGGCATCATGTCTACAGTCTGCCATATGTTTCATTGGTTTACTTTCTGTGACTTTCCACAATTATAATTTATGGTAGTAGTTGCTAAGCCAGTGTAAAGTATTTACAAATATTTTGAAAATGAACCTGTACAAAATGGTTTATAATGTATTTGTGCCTTTTTCCCCATTTACTTCAGTTAAACTACTTCTATCAGTGAAATTATTCAAATTATTCTAGACAAGACCCTATCGAGGAACTTAAGATTAACATTTTTCAGTGTCCACACTAGGTGCAAAGTTATGTTCAGAGTTTGGTAGCTAACATATTTTCAAACACAGTCTGTTTTCCTAGCCTAGACAAGGCCCCTGTGGTTGCAGGATTGGCTCCATCATTAGTGGCCCATCACACTTTGCTATATGTTGCTGCTAAGATCATTTTATATGCACACGGGAAACATAGCAACTGCTGAAGGGCCATCTAGTCCAATATCCTGTCTTTGATAGTGGGCAGCACCAGGTGCTTCAGAGGAAGGTGCAAGCAATCTTGCATAAGGCAGACCTAGGATAGTCTGCCCCCCTCAAAATCCTTTATAGTTAGAGATTGTCAAACTCAAAAACATGAGGTTTAATAACTTTTCCAAACTGTACGCTAGCATTACACTTTTGCTTTTCTACTTACTCCTTCAACATACCATTTAAAAGCAGCTAAATAACAAATATCTGTACAAAAAAAACCAGAAGAATATTGGAACATTTGCTGTTTTTTGCTATTTTTTTGGAATAACCTAACCTTTGTAAACATATGCAGAGCCTGAAAAAATGATTGGGGCATTCACTCTCTTAGGGAAAGTGTAGGAAGCATTCTTAGGAGAGAGTTATAGCACATGTGCTAGCTTAGGAAATCTTAAAACTTATGTGCTCTACACGAGAAAACTATTTGGATACCTACAGGAAATCCCAGTCTTAAAAACATCCTGGTCTCTTCCTGACTAAGGGAGAGAGAAATACATAATCCAGATTTGTTGGATATCTGGCAGTTTTTACAGCATTGCATTTGGAGTGAAATATTAGCTAAAGAAGCATCAGTTGACATAATTTATCTGGACTTTCAAAAAGCTTTTGACAAAATCCCTTACAAGAGGTTATTAAGGAAACCAGCTGGTTTGGGGATGATAGGTAAAGTACTGTCGTGGATTAGAAACTTGCTGAGAGACAGAAAACAGAGAGCAGGAATAAATGGTCAATTCTCAACATGACAGCAGGTTAGCAGTGGGGGTTCCCAATATGCCGCACTAGGACCGTTGTTGTTTCATAGATCAGTTATCCAAAAAAAGAGTCATTGAATCATAGGGTTGGAAGGGACCTCAGGGTCCAACCCCCTGCTTGAAGCTGGACTAATTCCCAATTTTTGCCCCAGATCCCTAAGTGGCCCCCTCAACAATTGAACTCACAACCCTGGGTTTAGCAGGCCAATGCTCAAACCACTGAGCTATCCCTCCCCCTGTGCAGTCAGGTGGCAAACTGTGTCTCTTCTAAAAAGAAAAGGAGTACTTGTGGCACCTTAGAGGCTAACCAATTTATTTGAGCATAAGCTTTCGTGAGCTACAGCACTTTGTTTTGTGTTCTAGCCCACCCCCATTCATTTTTCTTTTCTTCTTTGTTTTCTCTTGTGACAATTTTTTTGATTTTCAGTTCTGACCTCCATCCTGTTTAACACTGGAGAAGACAGTGAGATGTTTTGACCAGTTATACTTCTCTCTGTTCTTCTGTGCCTAACAGACGTGGGGACTTGGAAGGGAGCAGACTAAAGGTCAATCCAGAATCATGGTGACAGTCAGTAGTTTGCAGTCTTGGAGTCATATTGGATCAATGGCTGTTTTAGGAAACCTGTGGGCAATGTATTTTTTCCTTTTGTAGGTTTAACCTAGAGACTGACTGTTTCTTTCTGACCCTCCCCGCAATGATCAACACTTATGTATTGCAACGCAGAGCTAATTATTGCCACGTGTCCTACCTAAAGCTACCTTCAAAAAGAGCCTTGACACTTTAATTTGTGCAGGATCCGGCCTGTCCCCTTAAGTGGAGTAAGCCACCATTGGCACTAACACCCGTGCTCCTTGTTGCTCACTGACCACCTGCTAGCTTCTGAGTGCAGTTGAAGCTGTTGGTTATAATCTATAACTCTTAAAACCAGTGTCTTCCTACCTGGGGAGCAAATCCCCACTATCAGGGAGGTGCCAGGTGAGGTTAGGAGGGGAGAAAATGGGATAGAGGAACAGTGGAACGGGGGAAAACCACCTGGCCATAGATCCACCCTGCTCCCACTGGAAATGTGCTTCTGCTGCTTCCTTCTCAGCTCCCACAGTAGTCCTTTTCACAGTTGGAGGAGCAGCTAAGGTACAGGGCTGCAGTCACAGGCAGCAGCCAGGCAGCTGAAGCTTCTCTTCTGAACCACTCAGCTCAACAGGGGTGGTGTCAATAGGTGATCCCTACCCCATCCTGAGCAGCACATAATTTTCTAGTGAGTTAGTGAACTAGGGAGGGGGGAAAAGAGAGAAGCAAATAATAAGAAAGAGCAATAAAATAAAAAATAGAATGGAAAAATAAGAGACAAGCTGAACAAGAAAACAGAGAGAATTATTTATTTATCCAGGAAGTGCCAAGCTGCTGGACACACTAATAAAGAAGGGAATGACGGCAAAGAGCTTGCATTCTAAAACAAAAGGATAAAATTAAAGAGATGGCAGCCACTGTGCTGCTGCAATGGGCCACTTGAAGAGGAGCTTTTTAGCTGTCAATTCACCCGAAGAGAGTCTCAACAGGGAAAAACTGGTGTTTAGGAACCACTGCCCTAAATTCTAAGGTTTTGTACCTCAAGTTTTGATTGTGGCACACACCATATAGGTTAGGGTTCGTGTGGACACTCTGCACATAATTGTTCCAGGCTACAGACATTTGTTCTTTACCATTGACGGACCTCTTTTCTGAACATTTTCCAGTAAAGTGTGAACCCCACAACTGAACACAGTCTTACAATAACAGCCTCATTAATGCCATGTACAGTGGTTATAACACCTCCCTACTTCAACTTAATGTTTGCTTATAAATCCAAGGATTGCATTTGCTGCCTTTGGCCCTCATGTTGCACTGGGAGCTTATGCTCAGTTGGTTATTGGCTAGGATCTCTAGTCCTTTTCTGAGTCTGTGTCAGAGCAGGTGCCTACCTCAGCTACTGAAGGGGTTTGACCACACTATGTCTAAGAGGTTTAGGGAGCTTCTGTATCCCTGATTGTTCCTGGCATTC